AGAGAGAGAGAGAGAGAGAGAGAGAGAGAGAGAGAGAGAGAGAGAGAGAGAGAGAGAGAGAGAGTTTTGTTCCGTTTGTTGATACTCGCGCGCGCGAGAGAGAGAGAGAGAGAAAGTTTTGTTTCGTTTACAATTGTTGGGCGCATATGGTCGTGTTCTAGCGGGAAGTTCATTCTCATTTTGCACATTTCGAGAGTGATGTGGCGACGCCCTGTATCTTTCCACTAACATGGAAAGATACACCACCATATTTTGTCTTTTTGGCCTGTGTAGTTGCCCCCCTTCCCCACATGCAGAAAAGACAAACCGTCATATTTTTTGTCTTTTTTGCCTATGTTCGCAGCCCTTAGGCTGCGGTATAGTGGGCTTCGGCATCTGTGCCAAGGTGTCGCATTTTTGGCAGCGGGCGACCAGGACGCAAGTGGGTTTTTCGGGGGCAAAAAAATTTGGGGGACCGGTCCTTGGCAAAATTGCAGACTACCTACAGCTAGCTCTGGTAGAACCAGGACTTTTGCAAAAACGAAGGACCGGTCCTCAGACGGAACTGGACCCCAAAAATAAGTGGGGGCATTGGATCGGTCCTCAGCTAGAAGCGGACCCCAAGAAGAAGTGAGGGCATGTGATCTGCAAAAGGGCCCTCAAGCCCAGGCGTTGAGCCCCGTCTTCTCAAAACAGGGAGGTCAGGCACAACGAAACAGGCATTTTGCAAGAGGCAACTTTGGCGATTTTTTGTGCTCAGACGAACATGCACAAAAATATAAAATTTTGAGAGTCCATAGATGAAGTCGTGTTCTTTCCATAAATAATAATAGAACATTTATAAAAAATTATTTAGACTGCGAAATAATTGTCGCGCCGATTCAGCACATTTTCATTTTTGCCACTCAGCCATGCCTGGACTAACTAAAAAAGTACTCCAAATTCAGTGAGTTTTCGGGCTCAGAAAAAAAAAACTGAAAATTGGAGTACTCGTAAAACGCTACATAAATTTAAAAAAATCATTCCAACTGCGAAATAGATTGCGGCCGCAATTTGACCCATATTTCAATTTTGTCACTCTCTCTCTCTCTCTCTCTATATATATATATATATATATATATATATATATATATATATATTTATCTATCTATCTCTATCTCTCAAGACGTTGCGTCACTTCAGGAGTGCGGGTTCTGAGAGAACCAAGACCTTGATGATTATCGGAACTTTTCATCGAATGGTAGCTAACACATACGAGATGGCGGATCTACCACCCGTGATTGACCTGTTCGGACGGGAACTCTGACTCATGGATTACCCATGGAGGATAACCCGCACCGCGATACTTGCGTTCATTCGAAACTGCAGGGACGCGGACGTCCGAAATAAATTCTATGAGTACCTGGAAAAGCAAGAAGCATCAAATCGACGGATATAAAACTGAAAGTCCAGAATAAAATACGTCAAGAAATTCATACGACTCGGAATATAAAGCTAAAATCAAAAATCGAAAAATCAAAAATCAAAAGTCAAAAATATAATTTTGCACGGAATGAAAATAAATTTTCAGCGACGAAAAAGAAACATACACGACTAAGTACTTTGGAATATCACGAAATTTCTGCAAATATAATGACGTA